AGCCCCTGGTTGCCACTCTGTGCTGCTTCTGAAACGTGGAAACTGCATGGAACCGTTTGTCTGACCTGCCAGAGCAACATGAAAAAAAGGACTTGCATGATGTCCGGGTGGGCAGCTTCACCAGCCACAGCAGTGAACCGCATCCCAGAAGGCTACAGCATTTCATGAAGCTCTATGGAACGTCCAAGAGGGATTCAGGGCGCAGTGCTCTTGGTTCAGCCTTGCCCTGGAAACGCGCTCGTCCACCGGAGATCGGGGAAGCAGAGGGAGCCCGACAGGAGTCAGGATGCTGCACCGTGGACACTGGACTGCAAAATCTCGGTTGAGATCCGTAGGAGAGGCGCAAAGATGAAAGGCTAAAGACCAAAGACTACTCTAATTCTACTAGATCCATCTTCTTAGGCATGCTCGTCGCAGTTCCACATTCGCGCATAGAGCATCTGTCACACAGTGGTCGAGGAAAATTAGATTCTGCCCCCAAGGATTATTCTGTGCTGATATGCGGTCACCTTGCCAATTGATGCATAGAAGCGACACCGAATAGCTTCCATGCCACAGAGATTACCGAACCCGCTTCTTATTGGGCGAGGGGTACGAACTCGTCTCGGATGAATGCTTTTGATATCCCCCCAGACACAACCAAAATTGTATGGGTAAAAAAAAATGCTGGTATGACTGAGAGCGCAACGATTGATGACCGAAGTCTCCGGATTCATTCTGCGCTAAATGAGCTTCTATTGGGCATCCCGAGCGCGGTAGGGCTTCTTAGAGGTCAGGGAAACGAGGTCTGGCTCTTAACATCTTGGGTTTCTATTCAATATGCATTCGCATTACAGGCTTGAACCGTTTACAGTAGATCGTCAATTGATTAGATGACTTAAATCTCTCGGCGATTTATTGAAATAGATGGTCGCGATCTTCTTCCCAATCATACCCCCAAGTTCGTACGGCTTCAGAATTCCGGATTGTCTCGGGAAGCTAGCACCGGCTCCATATCGATCAAGCGATCATTACTCTCATGGCTCAAGGGTCGCCACTAGATTAAGCCGATGACGATGCATAATGTTCTCAGTCCCAGCTTTCTTCAGGTTGGCTTTAGAGCAAGCTATGTTGATACTAATTCTCAAACTAGTAATCCGAGAAGCACTCCTGATACGGACGCATCTCTATAATTCCGAGGAGAGGGGATTGTGCCGTCGCTCAATCCTTAACAGCAGGCAATCATCAGGGACTCCTGCTGGTATGATGCTATTCATGAATCAAGTTTATGTTTGGTGACCGTGCGTTTCCTGCTCCCCCTTTGACTAGAGACAAAAGAGTTTGGTCGAGGAGGATCATCCTGCAAAGCCATCACGATGGACAGCTAGATCCTGCCCAGACTTCTGAGATGTAGCTGTAACCTTTCGAATATGGTTGCCTACTCATAAGTCTTGTAGGATGAACATCATGAAGTCTGTATTCAACTCGGACGCCGAGGAAACGTTGCCTGCTGGTTTGATAGCGAGCCCGGGAACGACCCATTCGTTCCCACGTGGGAAGGGGGCACCACGATGCGTAAACTCACAAGAAAGGCTGGGACCACTAGCCGTGTATCGTGTTTTACCATATTTGGTCTTCACATCTGCGCCCTAGGATGTCAAAACTTAGTACTCACAGCCTCCACCCCCCAGTAACTCTAATCTTGTTTATCCTTTGCCATCCTCTTATTCGTAGTTTCGGAAGACTCCGCTCCTGTGAATTTGATAACACTTTCTATGTCTTAATTATAGGTCTTGATTTGGATTGTAAATACAGCTCTGGGCAGAATGGGATGAGGGTTGTATCTGCCGGGGTAGATTGACAATAAGGAATCTCACGAAGCGCCCATGTTTCCACTGCAGTCCTGAAAGAAGGCTGATGAAAGATGTCAATGTTTGCTAAGCCGCGAACTAGAGTCCATCAAATGGAGGGAGCCATGGAAATCCTATTTTTATCACTCAACTATCTTTGCTGGAATTGAGATGCTTGAAACCCGATGAAGTGTAATCGATTCCATTGCTATTATTTGCCGTTCGCCTAGAACAGTCGTTGAAGACATGATGCCACATTTTCAAACTCCAAAATTTTCTATACATCCAGGCGTTGAGGCCGAGAACCGCCTCCTGAAGAATATGTACTACTCTATTTATGTGCAATCGCCGAAGATACGACTGGGCGTACTTAGAAACGAAGCTGTCGTTAATTTTGTTTTCCGATCAAGCTTCCTGAGCCCATCGACGTTCTCTCAGCGGCATTTCCTCGCCAGCAGACTCTCTACTGCCATCAAGCTCTGCCCGCCATGCCCAATACTCGCCCAATCGAATCTCAGCATAAGAAGCATAGTCGAAGTCTATTTGAGAGATTGTGGCTTGGATTAAAGCCCATATTCCCCAGTAAAAGCCGGGAATGCCACGGAACATATCTACTTCCTCAAAAAGTTGACGGGATTCAGCTTGTTCATCGATATTGGCTTTGTCATCTCCCATGTGAGTGAAGTAGCTTCGAACATATACATTGATGAAGTCACGTCTCTGAGATTTGGTTGGCAAGAGATGGTGCTCACAATCAAACCCACCCCATTCAGCGAAGTGGTTCGCAATATCGAATGCAGCAGGTGAAGGTGTGGCATACTCATAATCGATAAAGCTGACGACTGTCTCTGGCGCATTGGCTTCTTGAACCCCACGAGGCTGGATAATCACATTACCGCTCAGTAAGTCGCAATGGGCAAATACGAGCTGAATAGTGTCAGTACATGTTCAGATTCTAGCAGGGGCATTTTCGATCTGTTTGGTGATATATCCTGGATGACCTGCACGAAACTCAAGGTGTGGAGGCAATTTTTGTATTTGTAGGAGGCACTCACGCTATTTTTACCTAGGCCTGGCCGATTGCTGAATTCTGATACCAACCGAGTTAGCTCCTTCTGCAGCTGTGCTTGTCGAGTCTTTTGAGCTTCGGAGGCAGTTGGAAGTGCATATATCCACTTCTGCATTACCGTCCAAACATTTGGAGCGGGCTTCCCAGGCGCAACATTATCAATGGCAGACTGTAAAGCTGGATCCTTTCTACTCAAAGTTGGAGCAGGTATGCCATATTGTTCGCTTCCGTCAATCTCAGTCGATAGTGACTCTCGAGACACTGGTAGACATGGGACAGTGGCGTGCCATTCTGCTAATCTTCTAGCCACAGCTCGCCAAATATCCTCTCTTCTAAGGTCTGCCGGAGATGTCACAGATCCTCGAATGAAGCGGTATAACATGCCATTGTGAAATCGAGCTAGTAGCTGCGGGGCGAGGTTATGTTGCATGAGCAGCTCGTGATTCTGAGTCTCTCGCTCACGATCGATAATTAGGTCTGTACCTTTCCCATACGCCCTCAATAGAACAGCCTCATTATCAATTTCCTCGGTTGAACGCCCAGGTATCTTATTCACGATCTTTAATAACGTATTTGTGATTCCATCAGTGAAACGAATAAACTCTATTTTCCCCTCAGTGTGTTCCCATTGTGGTCTGAGTGTAAGGATGAGACGAAGAGCAGATGTTTGCGATTCGGCTTGATTATATGTGAGAGGTATAAATCGAACGTCTTCAACTTTGGGAGTGGCTTCTGGTGTTGGTCCCATTGTCAGTGACCTGCCGCGCGGCACTTAAGGGGAAAAGTCGGTGAAAAGAGAGGGCGACAATGAGCCTTCAATCCATTAGAAAGATCTCCTCCCGAGGGTACGGAATTTCTTACCTGGCTGCTGTATGATTGTAGGGGGTTAGATATAATCAATGAATTGCTTTAAGTTAGAATAAAGGGCTTGTTTGCTTCAAATCATGCGCCGACGTCATATGTGGGCAGATTGCGATTGCGGTTCGGAGCTGTGAATTTGATGTCCGTGAGATGTGTTGCACAGCGGATGTAGGACTTCTGCGGCGAGACCTGGGAAAGAGATTTTAGAAAGTGAGGAGGGAGCGAAGTTGTTGATTGTGTTTGAATCGCAGGGACAATTTTGGTGGGGCGCAAATGACGACAAACCCCAGAAAAATTCGGTTCCTGGGAAGAATGCAAGGGCTTCAGTACTGACAGCTAAAAGTAAAACTTCTCAACTTGAGCTTCTAATCACGGTGAAAGGGGAAGAAATAGTAGAAACAAAATATAAGCAGAATAGCAATTTGGGGGTTCTCCTGTGCTACGACGAAATTGGTCTCGTGCCCGCGTCCACGTGCCTTCCTTCTAGGAATAGCGAGAAGGGTCCCACCCGCCAGCCTGGGGTTTAGCAAGGTCCCAACTAGCGACTTCCGTGGCCCGGACCTGACGGCCAAAACACTAAAGTACCGACGAAGGACATGAGATGAAAAGTCGGATGAACTATTTCGGTGATGGAAAGGACCAGATAGTGCTGGTCAAGCATATGACACGAGGATCAGAAACCTAGGTAAAACATACTGAGTCAAAGAGGAAGCTAATGTGAATGTTTTCTCCCACACATACTGAACTGGGGCGGTTTGGTGGCTGCATAACCCTCCTTATATTGGTCTAGCCTTAGCCACAATTAGTAGAGGCATACTGTAGGGACCACCATATTTTATTTCTCTCCATATCTCACCCGGGGGCGGTGGGGGTTTCTAGCTATTTATCTTTCCAAGGTTATGTGAGAGTGCGGTGAACAGTGTAGAGGACGCTAAGCTTAAAGTGATCTAAGTGAGCCCCTTTCAATCGAGGATACTACCTCTACATCTTTCCGGTCTGCTATACTAAGAAAAACAAATGGAACTCATTTTGAGAAAGAAACATGGGTCTAGTCTTTGATGGATATGAACCTTCTTACGTGTGAAGAGATGCCAAAGAGGGAAAGAATGATGACATGCCTTCTTTACTCAAGGTATTTCTCATCTAGACCTGTGTTGTGCTATACGTGTTGTCACATTAGTTGCCATTATTGTCCCATACACAGTGCAAAAAATTTAAAAGAAAAATTTATTAGAAGAAAGCGACACCTGTGTGATTCGAACACACGCTCCCGAAGGAAATGCCTGGAACTGCTTTCCTTACGAAATAGCAGGGCATCGCGTTAACCACTCCGCCAAAGTGCCGTGTTGTTGGATAACTTCGGCTTATTTAATTAAATATACCCCACCTATAAAAGCCGAGACGAGGCCTTCCGCTATTCAGTGCTACCTGGCAAGGTTTATTGATATAATATCCAAAGGACCAGAACTTCTATCACTTTAAAGTATCTTGCACAAACTTCTATCTATTTCTTTTCGATCTTACAGCCTTTCTAGGCGAAAAGGACCTGATTCTCAACTGTTTTTTAATCTTCCATGGAACACTCACATTCTGCCTTGGTCACCCTGTCATCAACCCCGCAGTTCGCTTCTATCGCCCCGCTGTAGCCTCACCTCCGAGGACCACAAATTTGAATGGCTTTTCTCTTTTTAGACACCGGAATACAAATGTACCCGCCGATTACTTAGGGAGATAAAATATGGTTTGGTGTATCACAATGAATATATCTAAAAGGAATCCGGTCGTCAAGAGACGCGGTTACTGAATATGAATCCGCATGTATGAAGAGTAACAAGTAATGCATAGATAATTTGCTCTTTTGATACCACATTTTATCAAAACCATAGCCTACATGAGCATATAGGAAATTTCTTTACTGCAGACATTGCTGTGGCTACCGCAGATTTATATACCATCAACACATTAGACGCACTACCCTTTATCACAAAATTAATAAAAATAAAAAAACTGTCAACAACACTTCATATACAACCTACAAAAGCCCTCATCCTATAACTCCATGTCGTGTCCTGTGGCGCCACAACCAAACCCATATCCGTAAACACTATTATGGCAGCCCGTAACCTCCATTAACCGCATCCGCCAACTCTGAGGTATTTGGACGATTTTGTGCATATCGTTCATAACTATCAATATACAGCTCATCCAGACTTGTGGTATTCTTAACATGCTCATTACTTTCAATAGCGTCCATCCAGCGCCCCCAACGACTTCCAGGAGCAGGGTCCTGCCAACCGCGATAATGTTTCATGACTCGCGAAAGCCGAATCATCCAAGGCGCGAATTGTATGTCGACATATGACAACTGTAGGCCAAGGAAGAAAGGCCCATGTGGGTCACACACATCGACTATCTTCGAGATTTGCTCTTGTAGCTTTTTTGTATGCTCAGCTTGCTTGGCGAAGTCCTGAGCTTGGAGAAGTTGGTAGAATGCTGGGACGATATTGCGATTTATCTACCTACTATTAGTTATCATTCCTAGTATCAATTAAATTTACTCACGTGGTCGCTCCACAACCTGCAAGTTGCCCTCATTTGAGGATTGCCTTGAGGAAGGATGGGATTGCCCATACCGATTTCTTCCAGCTATAAATGGATGGTCAGACAACGTTACATAGCCGATTGAGAGGACATACATATTCCATGAGGACTGTACTTTCTCCACAACCCCAATCACCATGCCGAATTCCAGGGACCAAGCCACGAGGATTTACATCGAGCAAAGATTGAGGTTTTTTATATGGGTCAACTTCGATATACTGGTAATTTAGACCTTTTGCTTCCATAGCAATCCACACTCTCTGCACGAAGGGGCTAGATAAGAATATTAGTGAAGGTTCTATATATGAACTGGCATCACTAGTAATATAGCACGCCATTAGAGATTCTTACCAAAAGCAGCTGCCGAACAACTTCAGTTCATGTTCCTTCGCGTGTTTTCGAACCGTCATTAAAGCGTTTCCGCTGGCCTTTTTATGGTATGTTTTCTGTTTATCATTGCTATCAGCCATCTTCCAATTGTATATATAGCCTTTCCAGTCTGAAAATGGTAGCCAAAATATAGCCGTTCGGGCATTGCAATACAGAGCAGAATATAAATAGTGATAATGAAGGTACGTGATGTATTTAATTGTAATGCCGAATTATGACACCGGAAGTAGTAGTTGACAGTAGATGTATGAGGGGGTTGTGGGAGGAGCCTTGCCAATCAGCTAAGGCAGGTCCATCCCTTAGCGAAGATAGAGTCCAGAGGCACATAAATAGACCATAAAATAGTAGAACTCACCTGAGTTTTCTTGGCTTCTTTATCCTGCTTTAATAGCCACCTTTGAACACTATTCTTTTTGACGCGATCACTTTCTGATAGTGGATGTTTATGCGGTCCTGGTACACCATCGCCTTTTCCATTACCGCCATTCCCATTAACACGTTGGATTGTGTAGTATCGTCGACCATCAGCTCCGGGATGATTTGGAGGCAGAACAGGGTTGACAAGTGACATGCCGAATTGATTTTGTTGTTGCATAGGTTGTCCACCGGGTTGTCCTGGAGCAAAGAAGTTGTTTCCCTGGTTTGGTCCTCCATCTGGCTCAAAGCCAGCACGCAACATAGCACCCGGAAAATACTCTGTGATCTTGATCTTGACATCGCAAAGATCCCTTTCTCTAGCAGTACGCTTACGCTTCTTCTTATTCGGGTCGTCTGATTTTGGTGTCCCTGGTGGTCTTCCTTTGAGTCGACAGTCCCAATAATGCGATACAAATGGTTTCCGCTTATATTTTTGAGTAGACCGATGTGAGTAGACATTATCAACATGTGGAAAGTAAGTTTCATATCTATATATTTACAATTAGCATGAGTTCCCATATTGGAGGGGAGTACTCACTCTTCCTCACTAAGTGTGATCATTTCGTCAACATTGAATAGCCTCTGACGCCATTCATCCAGGTTTGGAGGGTCAACAACGATCTTCCCACTCTGATGTCCGTTGCTCTTTTGATCTGCTCCTTCCGGTGCTCCAAATATATCATCCTCCTGTTGCAGCCGACCAATTGAATCGTGTTGTATAGGGTTCGTCGTTAACATGCCAAACTGCCCACCATTCTGTTGCTGCGGGGTATGAGGACTCCCATTGTTCTGAATATGTAGAGGTCGATGCTGGTGACCTCGATCGAAGGGATTCGGGGGTGGAAATGCATGGCTGTTCGGATCTTGCATTCGCAGGTCCTGGTGGAACACAGGGTCATTGTCGTCGAGGCCTGTGAGATCAAGGCCAGGCTGAGGGGTGAGGCTATGGTGTGTTAGGTGGTTCTGGCCATGTTGAATTGCCTGGGCAGCTTGGGGTTGTAATCCTCTGTAGGAGGGCAACTGTTGATGCAAAACGGAATCTGTCTCCATCTTGCTATCTCAGCACGGAGCTTCAACCTTGAATATGCCGTTCTTAAGGCGGCATCGACATCGGTGAGGTTGACGGGAAAGAGGATTGCTTCCCAGACCTTTCCTGATTTAGATAAGCTTTCTCGCCAGCCCCAATCATGTGATCACGAGTCTACCGTGTGGCTGACCCAAAGCGTCTTGCTGTTGACAACTTTAAAAGTTTCCCTGCAGCATAAGAATAGCAGGTAACACATGTGTTTAGAGGTTGTGGTAATAGCTTGTAAATTTGACAGCAGTCGTGCCTTTTATTTAGTATTTACTGCACGCCATCCGCATTGTAGCAAAGTTCGTTGTATAGTTTAATGAAGAGTTTTGGGATAGTAGTCTACTTGAACATCATTTCTCCTAAAATATGAGCAAATAAAGTCCCCTTTTAAAGCCATTCATTTCACCTGCTACCTAGGAAACAAAGTATTTCCCCAACCAGGTTGATAACTTAGAAAAGCATGGATGCGGGTAGTCTCACCCCCGGCCTGAGATGTGATACACCACAAAGCCATGAATGCTCCTTCTTCAAAAAAAGATATTTCGGTATTTGTATTTTTTATGCCTAAATTACATTTGTGGGATATCTCTAACACAGAAATTACTGCCCCAACCGGCCTCCTAATCAAACAAATTCCATTATTTACACCGTCTCATTGACTGCCCCGGGTATCGCATCTGTCTTTTCCAAAGTGGCGTCTGATGCTGCATCATAAGACAATGTGGGAATTGTCATACCGTACTGTTCTGTCTTTCCCTCCTTATCATGCTGATCTTTCTCGACTCTAATGCAAATATCGAGGCTGCCATCAGCATCTCCGCCATGAGTCTCAACCTTCGCTGCCTTGTGCTTGGTCCCTGCACCTACCTCCCCTCTATGAAGCCACGAATGACCATCCTTTGGCTTTGGTAATGAATCATCAGCTCGTGTGCCGTTTTCATCTGAGCCATTTACCGTTAAGTTGTTCGATGGTTGTGCGTGGGTGCCGCTGTTCTCCGTGATCATGGCCCAGTTCCTGCTAGGCATAGTAACATCATTCGAGTTTGATGTTTTGTTGGAATTGCCTGGATCTTTGTCGAAGAACTTCATCAATGTTTCATCTGTATCTTGATCTAAGTGGTGAATCTTGTTTCTTCGTGCAAGTAAATTTGCTACAGCCTGAGGTGGTGGTTTGTTGACAATAGCTGAAGAGATAATATTGACCATATAGCGATAATCGTTCCCAATGGGAATGTTGAGCTTCGGGTTAGAATAAAATCTGCCAACTGCAGCAAGATGCACATCACCACCGAGAATGCTTACACGGACAGAGAACTCTGAGGCAAGCTCTTGAAGCTTGTGTACAAGCATGAGACGCTCTTTCTTGTGAGTACGAGCCGTATAGTGGTCATCAAGATCATCCAATAAATCAACACTTCCATCGAAATGGTTGAAGAAACTCCCACCTAGCACGTTTAGTAACTACCTGTGGATTGTCGATATAAGTCAGTAGAAACATACCAAGGCCGAACCTCTTGTTGAGGAATTTGATGGGAGCAATTAGGGGACTAGAAAATATGTTCTCGAGCCATGTCAAACGCTAATGTATGTTAGATTAGAACAATAAGAAGCTAAGAGAGACTTTACAGGATACGCAATCGGAATACCCAAAAGTACGATCAGATGTGAAATTGGGCTGGATGAAGCCTTTGCCTTGCCGAGTTCGTCCCGGAGTCTCTTGACAATAATGTCATAGGTCTCCGGGTAGTTGACTTGATGGCGTGTTCGCTAAATCTTGTTAGAGAATAACCACAAGACAGTTAGGATATTCCTCACCTCTGTTCGTGCGTCAATCCCAAAGAAAGCAATTCTAGCACCAAG